CCCTTTCAACGCTGGCAATGTGCGGGTGGCTCACCTCCCTGTCTGTAAAGTGTATCAGAGTCGACATTTGAGTCACGTTAAAAGTCATCTTGACTCGACTGAAAAGGCATCCCTTTCAACGCTGGCAATGTGCGGGTGGCTCACCTCCCTGTCTGTAAAGTGTATCAGAGTCGACATTTGAGTCACGTTAAAAGTCATCTTGACTCGACTGAAAAGGCATCCCTTTCAACGCTGGCAATGTGCGGGTGGCTCACCTCCCTGTCTGTAAAGTGTATCAGAGTCGACATTTGAGTCACGTTAAAAGTCATCTTGACTCGACTGAAAAGGCATCCCTTTCAACGCTGGCAATGTGCGGGTGGCTCACCTCCCTGTCTGTAAAGTGTATCAGAGTCGACATTTGAGTCACGTTAAAAGTCATCTTGACTCGACTGAAAAGGCATCCCTTTCAACGCTGGCAATGTGCGGGTGGCTCACCTCCCTGTCTGTAAAGTGTATCAGAGTCGACATTTGAGTCACGTTAAAAGTCATCTTGACTCCACTGAAAAGGCATCCCTTTCAACGCTGGCAATGTGCGGGTGGCTCACCTCCCTGTCTGTAAAGTGTATCAGAGTCGACATTTGAGTCACGTTAAAAGTCATCTTCACTCGACTGAAAAGGCATCCCTTTCAACGCTGGCAATGTGCGGGTGGCTCACCTCCCTGTCAGTCAAGTTTCTCAGAGTCGACATTTGAGTCACGTTAAAAGTCATCTTGACTCGACTGAAAAGGCATCCCTTTCAACGCTGGCAATGTGCGGGTGGCTCACCTCCCTGTCTGTAAAGTGTATCAGAGTCGACATTTGAGTCACGTTAAAAGTCATCTTGACTCGACTGAAAAGGCATCCCTTTCAACGCTGGCAATGTGCGGGTGGCTCACCTCCCTGTCTGTAAAGTGTATCAGAGTCGACATTTGAGTCACGTTAAAAGTCATCTTGACTCGACTGAAAAGGCATCCCTTTCAACGCTGGCAATGTGCGGGTGGCTCACCTCCCTGTCTGTAAAGTGTATCAGAGTCGACATTTGAGTCACGTTAAAAGTCATCTTGACTCGACTGAAAAGGCATCCCTTTCAACGCTGGCAATGTGCGGGTGGCTCACCTCCCTGTCTGTAAAGTGTATCAGAGTCGACATTTGAGTCACGTTAAAAGTCATCTTGACTCGACTGAAAAGGCATCCCTTTCAACGCTGGCAATGTGCGGGTGGCTCACCTCCCTGTCTGTAAAGTGTATCAGAGTCGACATTTGAGTCACGTTAAAAGTCATCTTGACTCCACTGAAAAGGCATCCCTTTCAACGCTGGCAATGTGCGGGTGGCTCACCTCCCTGTCTGTAAAGTGTATCAGAGTCGACATTTGAGTCACGTTAAAAGTCATCTTGACTCGACTGAAAAGGCATCCCTTTCAACGCTGGCAATGTGCGGGTGGCTCACCTCCCTGTCTGTAAAGTGTATCAGAGTCGACATTTGAGTCACGTTAAAAGTCATCTTGACTCGACTGAAAAGGCATCCCTTTCAACGCTGGCAATGTGCGGGTGGCTCACCTCCCTGTCTGTAAAGTGTATCAGAGTCGACATTTGAGTCACGTTAAAAGTCATCTTGACTCGACTGAAAAGGCATCCCTTTCAACGCTGGCAATGTGCGGGTGGCTCACCTCCCTGTCTGTAAAGTGTATCAGAGTCGACATTTGAGTCACGTTAAAAGTCATCTTGACTCGACTGAAAAGGCATCCCTTTCAACGCTGGCAATGTGCGGGTGGCTCACCTCCCTGTCTGTAAAGTGTATCAGAGTCGACATTTGAGTCACGTTAAAAGTCATCTTGACTCCACTGAAAAGGCATCCCTTTCAACGCTGGCAATGTGCGGGTGGCTCACCTCCCTGTCTGTAAAGTGTATCAGAGTCGACATTTGAGTCACGTTAAAAGTCATCTTGACTCGACTGAAAAGGCATCCCTTTCAACGCTGGCAATGTGCGGGTGGCTCACCTCCCTGTCTGTAAAGTGTATCAGAGTCGACATTTGAGTCACGTTAAAAGTCATCTTGACTCGACTGAAAAGGCATCCCTTTCAACGCTGGCAATGTGCGGGTGGCTCACCTCCCTGTCTGTAAAGTGTATCAGAGTCGACATTTGAGTCACGTTAAAAGTCATCTTGACTCGACTGAAAAGGCATCCCTTTCAACGCTGGCAATGTGCGGGTGGCTCACCTCCCTGTCTGTAAAGTGTATCAGAGTCGACATTTGAGTCACGTTAAAAGTCATCTTGACTCGACTGAAAAGGCATCCCTTTCAACGCTGGCAATGTGCGGGTGGCTCACCTCCCTGTCTGTAAAGTGTATCAGAGTCGACATTTGAGTCACGTTAAAAGTCATCTTCACTCGACTGAAAAGGCATCCCTTTCAACGCTGGCAATGTGCGGGTGGCTCACCTCCCTGTCAGTCAAGTTTCTCAGAGTCGACATTTGAGTCACGTTAAAAGTCATCTTGACTCGACTGAAAAGGCATCCCTTTCAACGCTGGCAATGTGCGGGTGGCTCACCTCCCTGTCTGTAAAGTGTATCAGAGTCGACATTTGAGTCACGTTAAAAGTCATCTTGACTCGACTGAAAAGGCATCCCTTTCAACGCTGGCAATGTGCGGGTGGCTCACCTCCCTGTCTGTAAAGTGTATCAGAGTCGACATTTGAGTCACGTTAAAAGTCATCTTGACTCCACTGAAAAGGCATCCCTTTCAACGCTGGCAATGTGCGGGTGGCTCACCTCCCTGTCTGTAAAGTGTATCAGAGTCGACATTTGAGTCACGTTAAAAGTCATCTTGACTCGACTGAAAAGGCATCCCTTTCAACGCTGGCAATGTGCGGGTGGCTCACCTCCCTGTCTGTAAAGTGTATCAGAGTCGACATTTGAGTCACGTTAAAAGTCATCTTGACTCCACTGAAAAGGCATCCCTTTCAACGCTGGCAATGTGCGGGTGGCTCACCTCCCTGTCTGTAAAGTGTATCAGAGTCGACATTTGAGTCACGTTAAAAGTCATCTTGACTCGACTGAAAAGGCATCCCTTTCAACGCTGGCAATGTGCGGGTGGCTCACCTCCCTGTCTGTAAAGTGTATCAGAGTCGACATTTGAGTCACGTTAAAAGTCATCTTGACTCGACTGAAAAGGCATCCCTTTCAACGCTGGCAATGTGCGGGTGGCTCACCTCCCTGTCTGTAAAGTGTATCAGAGTCGACATTTGAGTCACGTTAAAAGTCATCTTGACTCGACTGAAAAGGCATCCCTTTCAACGCTGGCAATGTGCGGGTGGCTCACCTCCCTGTCTGTAAAGTGTATCAGAGTCGACATTTGAGTCACGTTAAAAGTCATCTTGACTCGACTGAAAAGGCATCCCTTTCAACGCTGGCAATGTGCGGGTGGCTCACCTCCCTGTCTGTAAAGTGTATCAGAGTCGACATTTGAGTCACGTTAAAAGTCATCTTGACTCGACTGAAAAGGCATCCCTTTCAACGCTGGCAATGTGCGGGTGGCTCACCTCCCTGTCTGTAAAGTGTATCAGAGTCGACATTTGAGTCACGTTAAAAGTCATCTTGACTCGACTGAAAAGGCATCCCTTTCAACGCTGGCAATGTGCGGGTGGCTCACCTCCCTGTCTGTAAAGTGTATCAGAGTCGACATTTGAGTCACGTTAAAAGTCATCTTGACTCGACTGAAAAGGCATCCCTTTCAACGCTGGCAATGTGCGGGTGGCTCACCTCCCTGTCTGTAAAGTGTATCAGAGTCGACATTTGAGTCACGTTAAAAGTCATCTTGACTCCACTGAAAAGGCATCCCTTTCAACGCTGGCAATGTGCGGGTGGCTCACCTCCCTGTCTGTAAAGTGTATCAGAGTCGACATTTGAGTCACGTTAAAAGTCATCTTGACTCGACTGAAAAGGCATCCCTTTCAACGCTGGCAATGTGCGGGTGGCTCACCTCCCTGTCTGTAAAGTGTATCAGAGTCGACATTTGAGTCACGTTAAAAGTCATCTTGACTCGACTGAAAAGGCATCCCTTTCAACGCTGGCAATGTGCGGGTGGCTCACCTCCCTGTCTGTAAAGTGTATCAGAGTCGACATTTGAGTCACGTTAAAAGTCATCTTGACTCGACTGAAAAGGCATCCCTTTCAACGCTGGCAATGTGCGGGTGGCTCACCTCCCTGTCTGTAAAGTGTATCAGAGTCGACATTTGAGTCACGTTAAAAGTCATCTTCACTCGACTGAAAAGGCATCCCTTTCAACGCTGGCAATGTGCGGGTGGCTCACCTCCCTGTCTGTAAAGTGTATCAGAGTCGACATTTGAGTCACGTTAAAAGTCATCTTCACTCGACTGAAAAGGCATCCCTTTCAACGCTGGCAATGTGCGGGTGGCTCACCTCCCTGTCAGTCAAGTTTCTCAGAGTCGACATTTGAGTCACGTTAAAAGTCATCTTGACTCGACTGAAAAGGCATCCCTTTCAACGCTGGCAATGTGCGGGTGGCTCACCTCCCTGTCTGTAAAGTGTATCAGAGTCGACATTTGAGTCACGTTAAAAGTCATCTTGACTCGACTGAAAAGGCATCCCTTTCAACGCTGGCAATGTGCGGGTGGCTCACCTCCCTGTCTGTAAAGTGTATCAGAGTCGACATTTGAGTCACGTTAAAAGTCATCTTGACTTGACTCAAAAAGGCATCCCATCCCTTTCAACTCTGGCAACGTGCGGGTCGCTTCGCTGTCAGTCAAGCTGCTTGTTTGTCAAGTCAAGAATCGGCTTTGGCGAGCTCCCTCACCTTTTGAGCCGCCTAATAGGAGGTCCTTTCCTTGTGAGACGCCTCAAAAGTTGCTGGCTCACCTCCCTGACAGTCAATTTATCAACTCTGGGAGTTCTAAAAAAGTCGTCTCAAGAATCGCCCTTGGCTTGCTTACCGGGCTTGCTCTCAGTCAACATTCATGCTCTCAGTCTTAACAATAGTCCCTGTACTCTCTGTCTTCCTTCCCTCCTCTTTCTTCCCTCCCGTCTCTCCCTCCTCTCCCTTCTCTCCCTGCTCTCCCTTCTCTCCCTTCTCTCCCTGCTCTCCCTGCTCTCCCTTCTCTCCCTGCTCTCCCTGCTCTCCCTTCTCTCCCTTCTCTCTCTTCCATGTCCCAACCTGGTTTGTCTTCTACCTCTCGTGCCCCCACCTCCTCTGCACTCCCCCCTACCAGCCCGTTGCACAAGATTTGCATGAGTGGCATAATTTCAGTTCAGATACTAAGATGCCTCAAAAATTGTCTTCCCCCCAACCTGGCTCGTTGTTCCCTTTCTCTCCCACTCCACCACCTCCGCTCTCCCCTTTCTCTACCACTCCACCACCTCCGCTCTCCCCTTTCTCTACCACTCCACCACCTCCGCTCTCCCCTTTCTCTACCACTCCACCACCTCCGCTCTCCCCTTTCTCTACCACTCCACCACCTCCGCTCTCCCCTTTCTCTACCACTCCACCACCTCCGCTCTCCCCTTTCTCTACCACTCCACCACCTCCGCTCTCCCCTTTCTCTACCACTCCACCACCTCCGCTCTCCCCTTTCTCTACCACTCCACCACCTCCGCTCTCCCCTTTCTCTACCACTCCACCACCTCCGCTCTCCCCTTTCTCTACCACTCCACCACCTCCGCTCTCCCCTTTCTCTACCACTCCACCACCTCCGCTCTCCCCTTTCTCTACCACTCCACCACCTCCGCTCTCCCCTTTCTCTACCACTCCACCACCTCCGCTCTCCCCTTTCTCTACCACTCCACCACCTCCGCTCTCCCCTTTCTCTACCACTCCACCACCTCCGCTCTCCCCTTTCTCCCGCTCCCCCCCCGCCCGTACCAGCTCATTGAACAAGAATCGCATCGGTGGCATCGTTCCAGATTCCATCACCAACCTCGCGGCCTTGTCACACCTGTGCGTATATACCACACCACCCTTACTTGAAAGTGTAACGCACTTTCTTGAAGATGTAACACACTCGCTTGAAGATGAAACGCACATGCTTGAATATGTAACGCACTCGCTTGAAGGCGTACCGCACTCACTTAACGATGTAACAGACTCACCTACCCGTCGCATCATCTCTCCTGAAAACGACTGGTAGGTGAGTCTGTTACAGTCTGTAACGCTGTTTTTCAAATGCAGTGACCTCTCATACAATACAACCAGCCAGGTGTCATTGAACATTCCGAACAAACGGCGGTTTATGAGTTGACTCGAGAAGCATCTCTATCTCTCCTCTGCACCCCGCTTTCGCGAGCGGCAACCTATCATATACAACCAGCTCTTTGGGACCCTGTCGGTTGATTCAGTTTATGAGTCACGGACCCATATTTCACGAGAAGATATCCTCCCAATCCTCGCTCACACGCAGCGATCTATCTTACAACAACCAGCTCTCTGGGACCCTGCCCTACAACATCGGTAACCTGCAAAATCTCGTCGACCTGTACGTGTATCCTTTTACTCGCACACCCCCTGCCTTTCCTGGAACGCTGCCCGACAACAGGGGACCCTGCCGGCCCTACAACATCGGTAACCTGCAAAAGCTCGTCGATCTGTACGTGATTTCCTTCTCCCTCTACTTGAGAAGCCTGAACAAGACGCTCTGATACCAAATTGTTCACAAGAATCGGGTCAGGAATCATTTCCCAATGCGCCTTGAGGCATTTTCCAGGGAAAGTTCCTCGCCTTGAGGATTTTTTAGCGGCCTCAGAAATCGTCTACCTGTGTGTCTTCAGACTTCAGGCATTTTCCGGAGAAAGCTTCCTCTTTGTGTTGCCCCATGGTCTTCTTTGACCATGGGTCGGTCGACTCTTGAGTCAAAATTTTAGTCGACTCTTGAGTCAATTGTTGAGTCGACTCTTGAGTCAACTTTGAGTCGACCCTTGAGTCAATTTTCTAGTCGACTCTTGAGTCAACTGTTGAGTCGACTCTTGAGTTGCCTCAAAAGTCTTCCTCGCTGTGTTGCCTCGTGATGATGAGTGAGTGAGAGGGGTCTTCAGACGAATTCCCAGAGAATATTGAGCCTACTAAGTTACTTAAGGCCACTTGTGAGAATTCTCTAAAGTGAGTCGACTCGAAGATCTCTAGACATAGACAAGGGAGCAGAAACGAACTGTCGGGAACACAGACAACTTTGGAGGCGCCTCAAAAGTCCTCAAAAGTCGACTCGAAGGTCTCTGGACATAGACAAGGGAGCAGAAACGAACTGTCGGAAACATGCAAGGCATGATTGGTGGACAATAGGCATACAAGGCAGATGGGATATGATCCATGTGTGCTGTATCGTGTGTCCCCACCCCCAGCTATGTCGGCAACACGGACATGCAAGGGAGTCTACCCGAGACCCTTGCAACAATGACCAGCCTTGAAACCATGTAATGCACGCCTCTGCCTTTCGCCTTTCACCTTGTGAACCTGTGACCCTGTCGATCTCACATTTCGGTTTTTTAAGGCGCCTCAAAATCCGTCCCTACGTGCCATGCACTGCTATCTACATCCGTCCCTATCTGCATTTCGTACAGTATCTACTATCTTGCTGTCCATCTCACATTTCGGTTTTTTAAGGCGCCTCAAAATCCGTCCCTACGTGCCTTTCGCCTTTCACCTCGTACAGTATCTACTCTCTTGCTGTCCATCTCACATTTCGGAGCACATCCGATGGCCCTCATGCCCCCCTACTACGAACTTGAAGAGGAATGACTAATTTATATTTTGAGACGTCTCATAACTAATTTATCTTCTCGTGCTCCTACGCACTACCTCTTCATGCCACGTCCCTCCGTGCCCCTACCCTTCACACTCCAGGTCGTAAAACCCATGCCATTACCCTACCCATGCCATCACCTCATGGTATCACCCACCTTACCGTGCAATCAGCTCATGCTATCACCATCACCTCACCCCTTACCACACAGGTCATACGACAGCCTGCTCATGTCGTGCCCCACAGGTGCCTGCACCGTGGATGCCGTCAACACCACCCTCTTCTGCTCCGACTGCTCCGCCTTCTGCTCCTCCTGTAGCTCCACGCCTGGTAATGGCAGTGCCACCCCTGGTAATGGCAGCACCAGTCCTGGTAATGGCATCAGCACGGGTGGTAGTAGCAGCACTGTAACTGGTAATGGCAGCATCACACCAGGTAAATAGCAGCACCGTAACTGGTAATGGCGGCACTATACCTGGTAACATGCATGTGCATGTTATCTCGCCAGCTTCCCTCTACCCAAATGTGTCTACATGCATGTGCTATCTCTGCCGCTTCCTTCTGCCCCCGCTCCTTTCCCCCCAGCACTCATTCCCCACCTCTGTTTCCCCACACCTCTCCCCCCACCTCTGCTTCCCCCCACCTCCCCCGCCACCTCTCCCCCCACCCCTGCTTCCCCCCACCAGCCCCAGGCTCCTCTCCAGCCCCAAGCAGCCCTCCGCCCGCCCCTCCTTCCTCCCCCTCGCCGCCTGCCCCTTCCCCTTCTCCCCCGTCCGCGGATGGGGGAGGGGGGGTGTCGACAGGGGTGGTGGTGGGGGTGGTAGTGGGGGCTGTGGTGCTGCTGTTGGGATTGGTGCTTGTAGCGGTGTGCTTGTATCGGAGGAGAAGGAAGGCGAGGGCAGCAGCAAATGAAGGTGAGGCCGAGAGGAAGGTGCGGCAAAGAGGAAGGTAGGGCAGAGAGGAAGGTGAGGCAGAGAGGAAGGTGAGGCAGAGAGGAAGGTGAGGCAGAGAGGAATGTGAGGCAGAGAGGAATGTGGGGCAGAGAGGAATGTGGGGCAGAGAGGAATGTGGGGCAGAGAGGAATGTGGGGCAGAGAGGAATGTGGGGCAGAGAGGAATGTGGGGCAGAGAGGAATGTGGGGCAGAGAGGAATGTGGGGCAGAGAGGAATGTGGGGCAGAGAGGAATGTGGGGCAGAGAGGAATGTGGGGCAGAGAGGAATGTGGGGCAGAGAGGAATGTGGGGGGATATTTTGAAACACATATGATCGAAGTGGCCGCTCTCAGCGATTACTGCTACACTTGTTCGAAGTGGCCCCCTTTTAGCAGCAGCAGCAGCAGCGTGCATATAAGGGAACCTGCAGTGCCAGGGCTACCCCTTGGCTGGCGTGTGATAAATCTTGCGGCGTTTAATGATACCCTTCCCATCCCCGCAACCCACCTCCCCTCCTCCAAGCAGCAGGCGGGGATATCAGGGGGCGGGCAGTGCCAGCGCTACCCCTTGGCTGACGTGCAGCGGGGATTGAGGCATTTACTGTTACAACTTACACCTCCCCTCCACCCCCACCAGCAGCAGCAGCGGTGGGGATATCAGGGGGCGGGCAGTGCCAGCGCTACCCCTTGGCTGAAGTGCAGCGGGCGACCAACAACTGGGCTGAGGCCAACCGGATTGGCAGCGGCGGGTTTGGGGATGTGTTCAGGGGCGTGTCGCCTCTTGACCCGTCGGTGGTGTGGGCTGTGAAGCGAGCCACTGTCATCACTAGTGACTTCCGCCGGGAGGTGCGTGGTGTGGTGGTGGGGTGGTGTGGTGTGGTGCGCTGTGGTGTGGTGTGATGTGGTGGGGTGGGTTGTGATGTGGTATGGTGCGGTGCGGTGTGGTGTGGTGTGGTGTGGTGTGGTGGCGTGGTGCGGTGTGATGCAGTGTGGTGTGGTGTTGTGCGGTGTGGTGTGTGGTGTACTAGTGTGCAAGTGGGGGGCTCGGGGATGTGTTCAAGGCCGAAACCATAGATCAACGAGATGGCATCAAAGCACCACCCCAAACTCGTGCACTCTCCTCCCCCACACCCCCCGCCCCCCTCTCCCTCCCCCAACCTCACCCTTTCCCTCCACACTACCCCCCCTCCCTCCCTGCTCCCCCCCTTCTCACCACCATAGATCAACGAGATGGCATCAAAGCACCACCCCAACCTCGTGCGGCTGTTAGGGTACTGCATTGACGTGGACAAGGCAGCTGCGAGCACCCAACCCAAGGACCCACATTTCCCTCTCTCCCTTCCCCCTCCCCCCTCACATGCCTCCCCGCACAGATCAATGAGATGGCATCAAAGCACCACCCCAACCTCGTGCGGCTGTTAGGGTACTGCATTGACGTGGACAAGGCAGCTGCGAGCACCCAACCCAACCCAAGGACCCACATTTCCCTCTCTCCCTTCCCCCTCCCCCCTCACATGCCTCCCCGCACAGATCAATGAGATGGCATCAAAGCACCACCCCAACCTCGTCCGGCTGTTAGGTTACTGCATTGACGTGGACAAGGCAGCTGAGAGCACGGAGCAGATTCTAATATACGAGTTCATGGATAATGGCGACCTCGAGCGGTGGATCGGACCAGGTGGGTGCTTGGTGTGTGCTTGCGTTGCCTGTTGCATGGAAGTGCTGTCACTGAAACATAGCTAAAGTACGGTTGAGAGCACGGAGCAGATTCTCATCTATGAGTTCATGGATAACGGGGACCTCGAGAGGTGGATTGGACCAGGTGGGTACGCAGTTGGATGGAGTTCAATTAAGTTCTCCGGCATGTACTGCCAGCACTTCTGCGAGTGCCTCCAACACTTGTCTCGTTCTGCATTCCATTGACTTCTGTACTGCACCCATGCTTTTTTGTCTTCCCACCACAAAAACACCAGGTGTTGAGAAGCCGCTGAGTCTGCGGCAGCGCTTTGACGTGCTCATTGGGGTGGCTCAAGGGCTGCAGTACCTCCACAGCTTCAACATTGTTCACCGCGACATCAAGCCTGCCAACATCCTGCTCGACAAAAAGATGCAGGTGAAATAAGTTTAGGGTAAAAAAAAAAAAAAAAAAAAACACTCACAATACTTCTGGTTTCACGTTGCACGTCTGTCTCCTGTACCATCATCACCCTCTCCCTTCCCTCTCCCCCCTTCTCCCCTTTCCTCAGGCCAAAATTGCTGATTTTGGGCTGGTGAGGATGGGCGAGGGCACTGCAGTGGGTCATACGCGGGTGATGGGAACACCGGGCTATGTGGACCCCGCTTACTTCAAGTCGCAAAAGGCCACTCCAACAGCAGACGTGCACAGGTGTGAACGCGGGTGCATTTGGTTTCAGAATGGTACAAGCCGGTGGAGTGATGATGCTGACAGTGATCAGATCATTTCATGGAAGGAACTGGATTGCATGGAAAGCAGTCAAATATATTACGTATGATAGTCAATCCCATGCCAATGTGCATGTGCCCCTCCCACCCTCCCATCCAGCTTTGGAGTGGTAATGCTAACAGTCATCACTGCCCGCAAGGCTCTGGACTCTTTGGACGACAACCAAGTCAACCTTAAGAAATGGGTAACTATAGTTTCTTGACGAGAGAGAGAGAGAGAGAGAGAGCAATGTTGTTGTTGTCGTCGTCGTCGTCGGCGGCGGCGGTGGCGTCGCCGTGTTCGTTGCCGTGGTCGTGGTCGTGGGCGTCGTCGTCGTCGTCGTCGTCGTCGTTGTCGTAGTAAAAAAAAAAAAAAAAACGTTTGGTATTATTATGATTAAGGTGGTATTACCATCATTATTACAATCATAGTTGTTATTATTACTGGTTTTTTCACTTGTATCATTCCATTCATGCCCTTCCCCTCCTCCAGGTGGAACCATTGTTGGAGGCCGAGGATGCAGATGCTATCAAGGACCCGCGTCTGGACGCCCCCAGCGACGTGGTGCTCAAGCTCGCCCGCTTCGCCCTATCCTGCACCGCCACTCCTGTAACCACCCGCCCCTCCATGCCGCGCATTCTCTCCGACCTCATCGCCATGAAGGAAGAATTTCTCGGCGCTGACATGGACCCTGTGCTGGTGAATATTGATAGTGACTTGGTGGACCGCAAAGGGGCGAGCTTCTCTCAGGAGATTCGGCGGGCACATGAGGTGGCTTCGGAGCGTGAAGGGGTGTCAGGTTTGAGCATTGGGATGGTGTCAATAGGGGAAATGGATTCCTCTGACAGCGGTGTATGAGTGCGGTGGTGTTTCATTGAGAGGGGGTTTCAGCACTTAGGAGGCTTGAGCATCTATAGCATAAAGGCGCATCAAACGTTGATAAAGGCCTGAAAAGGAAGAAACAATTTATTGTGATACGAGGGAGTCTGAGGGGACGCTTCTTATGTGAACTGGCAATCGGCTGCTTTTTAAAACATATTATTGATTGATGGATACGATAGTTTCAATGCTAAGTAATATAGTAGTTGAATGTGTTACAACCTTCAACGAATTCTGGCTAGTCAACGAAGTCGTGACGACAAGCCTTGCTGGCGGTAACGTGTGTCGCCACCGTGGCTGACAATTTTGATTGGTTACCGAGCGATTCCTCCCCACAGAGCTCGGAGTTTTCCACGCTTGGGTGGAAAGCTTGCGCGCGGTGTTTCGCCCAGCCCCAGCTTGGTTCCCCCTGCAACCGCGACCGCTCCAAACACCATTCCCCGTTTCCCGCTCCCCCATCCCCTTTCCGCCTTCCCCCTTCTCTCTTCCCCTCGCCACAAATCTACTTTCAGCCCTGCGCGCACCAGCACAAGCGCAGGAAGGGCGCAACTGTTGAGTTTGCTCTGCGGCGGCTTTGTTCCTCCTCAACCAGACGTGAGTTGGAAGAACTCTGATTCTTTCAATAGTTGTCAGCGACGCTCGTACCGCTCCAACACCCCTTGTGGCGAAGGTTTCGCTGCCTCCTTCGCAGCGTTCTACTAATCGCAGCAGCCTTCAAGTCATCGCTGCATTCGTCGCATTCCGTACCATCCCGCCGCAATCCACGCTGAATCCGCCGCATTCCGCCCTACATCCCGCTGTGTTATGCGCTGCATCCGCCGCAGCCCATGCAAACCATTCCGCTGCATAACACGCGGCTACATCCGCCATATTCCACGCTGCCAGGCCGCCTGACCGCGGCTCGCGCTACTACAACCCGCCTCTCGCGCCACACCGCCGCGCCCACACGCGCCACACCGCACCACGCGCCGCGCCACTCGCGACACAACTCCGCCACGCGTCATTTCGCGCTACAAACCGCCATTCGCGCTACAAACCGCCATTCGCGCTACGAACCGCCATTCGCGCTTCGAACCGCCATTCGCGCTACGAACCGCCATTCGCGCTTCGAACCGCCATTCGCGCTACGAACCGCCGCTCGGGGATGAGGCCAAGTCGCGACGGCATGTCCGCGACACTGCTTCTGGTCGCACTGACGTCATGGAGCGTATTTTCCGTTCCGTTGATGACGCACGTGCTGGGACAAACGATTGACAGCAGCCAATGTGAGTGTAACGGGGGAAAACGGCGTCCTTTCCTGCTAGGTATGAAGTGGACACGTGGCATGGCGTGGACACGTGGCACGACGCGGACACGTGGCACGACGTGGACACGTGGCATGGCGTGTACACGTGGCATGCGTGGACACGTGGCATGACGTGGACACGTGGCATGACGTGGACACGTGGCATAATGACGTGGACATGTGGCATGGCATGGACACGTGGCATGACGTGGACATGTGGCATGGCGTGGATACGTGGCATGATGTGGACACGTGGCATGACGTGGACACGTGACGCGTGGCATAACGTGGCATGACGTGGACACGTGGGATGGGATGGACATGTGGCATGTATAGGAACACCTAGGCGGCATAATGATGGCATGCATTCGCATTTGCCCCCATTCCAATAAGCACAAATTTCACATCCCGCTCCATGCCCACCCCCTTTCTCCCCTCCACCTCCTCTCAACTACCTTCCCCTCCTCTCCCTCCTCTTCCCACCTCCCTTCCACTGCCCCTACACCACATCTTGCCACGTCATAAAATGGCACGTCCACGTCTCTTTGTGACGTCAGTGCAAGCACTATGGGATATGCAAACGTCATGGGGAGTGACTTTCAACCAATGGGACACCGGCGGTGACTGCAGCACTGCAGACGGCATATCGTGCAACTCAAAGGGCATGGTGACATGGATGTACGTGATGGTGACGTGGATACAATCACATGCATGCATGCACAACACACACGCGCAAGCGTCGCCCACATGCGCATGTGCATATGCACACACGCAACCAGTGGTTGTGTGCACATACACATGCGCAGGCACACTCGCCCACCCACCCTCACACGCACACACATGGACACATGCAAACATGCACGCACGCACGCACGCACGCACGTACGCACGCACGCACGCACGCACGCACGCACTCACGCACACACGCGCGCGCGCGCGCACACACACACACACACACACACGCACACACGCACACACACATTCAGGATTCCAGAGGACAAAGCCCTTGCCTGTGTGTGTCAGTGTGTGTGTAGGACTGCCCCTTGCCCCACTTGCCTCATCATCCCCCCCGGCCGCCCTTGTGCCCAACACCCCACCACCCCACCCAAGTGACTGCACAGCCCCCATCGTGCTGACTGTCAGCACCAATCAATGCCCACCACCCACCAACAACCTCATCTCACCTCACCTCACCGCACCTCACCGCACCTTACCTCACCTCACCTCACCTCACCACACCACACCTCCTGCTGCGTATATGCTCCTTCTGCCTATATGCCCCTGCTGCCCATATGCTCCTGCTGCCCATATGCTCCTGCTGCCCATATGCTCCTGCTGCCCATATGCTCCTGCTGCCCATATGCTCCTGCTGCCCATATGCTCCTGCTGCCCATATGCTCCTGCTGCCCATATGCTCCTGCTGCCCATATGCTCCTTCTGCCTATATGCCCCTGCTGCCCATATGCTCCTGCTGCCCATATGCTCCTGCTGCCCATATGCTCCTGCTGCCCATATGCTCCTGCTGCCCATATGCTCCTGCTGCCCATATGCTCCTGCTGCCCATATGCTCCTGCTGCCCATATGCTCCTGCTGCCCATATGCTCCTGCTGCCCATATGCTCCTGCTGCCCATATGCTCTTGCTGCCCATATGCTCCTGCTGCCCATATGCTCCTGCTGCCCATATGCTCCTGCTGCCCATATGCTCCTGCTGCCCATATGCTCCTGCTGCCTGTATGCTCCTGCTGCCCATATGCTCTGCTGCCCATATGCTCCTGCTGCCCATATGCTCCTGCTGCCCATATGCTCCTGCTGCCCATATGCTCCTGCTGCCCATATGCTCCTGCTGCCCATATGCTCCTGCTGCCTATATGCTCCTGCTGCCCATATGCTCCTGCTGCCCATATGCTCCTGCTGCCCATATGCTCCTGCTGCCCATATGCTCCTGCTGCCCATATGCTCCTGCTGCCTATATGCTCCTGCTGCCCATATGCTCCTGCTGCCCATATGCTCCTGCTGCCCATATGCTCCTGCTGCCCATATGCTCCTGCTGCCCATATGCTCCTGCTGCCCATATGCTCCTGCTGCCCATATGCTCCTGCTGCCCATATGCTCCTGCTGCCCATATGCTCCTGCTGCCCATATGCTCCTGCTGCCTATATGCTCCTGCTGCCCATATGCTCCTGCTGCCCATATGCTCCTGCTGCCCATATGCTCCTGCTGCCCATATGCTCCTGCTGCCCATATGCTCCTGCTGCCCATATGCTCCTGCTGCCCATATGCTCCTGCTGCCAAAACGCTGACCATCCATCCATCCATCCACCCGTACTCAAGCCAACTCCCCTTCCCCTTTGCTCCCCTTTTCCCACGCACACCCACCGCCACCCCCCCATATGGCCTTCGCTGCAGCGAGGTGACTGTACAGAATCTGGGAGGGGATGACTTTCGAGTCGACTCAAAACTTATCACCCCACTCCCACCCCCCATTCGGCCGTCGCTGCAGAGAGGTGACAGGACAGAATGTGGGATGGCCCCTGCCAACCACCCACCCACCAACCGTACTCAAGCCAACTCTCCTTACCCTTTCCTCCCCACCATACACGCACACCCACCCCCCCATACGGCCCTCGCTGCAGCGAGGTGACAGGACAGAATCCGTGAGGGGATGACTTTTGAGTCGTCTCAAACTTATCACCCCACTCCCACCCCCCTATACGGCCCTCGCTGCAGCGAGGTGACAGGACAGAATCTGGGAGGGCCCCTGCCCGCTACCATTGGTGACCTGGTGGATCTCTCGCACCTGTGAGTACTGTGCTGCTTGCTGCTTGCTGCTTGCTGGTGCATACGATTGCGCATGTGGCGTGCTGCTTGCTGCGTGCTGTTCTTAAAGCCTCACTAAAGGCACCGCCACCATTGGTGACCTGGTGGATCTCTCGCACCTGTGAGCTCTGCTGCTTGCTGCTTGCTGCATGCTGGTGCATACAATTGTGCTTGGTGCGTGCTTGGGCACTGCCACCATCGGTGACCTGGTGGACCTCTCGCGCCTGTGAGTGATTGCTGCATGCTGCGTGCTGCTTGCTGCTTGCTGGTGCATACGATTTGACATGCCGCGTGCTGCTTGCTGCGTGCTGTTCTTACAGCCCCACTCAAGCCCCACTCAAGGCACCACCATTGGTGACCTGGTGGATCTCTCGCACCTGTGAGTTACTGCTGCTTGCATGCTGGATGCTGCGTGCTGCTTTTGCCTGCTGCTCTTAAATCCCCAATAAAGGCACCGCCACCATCGGTGACCTGGTGGATATCTCGCACCTGTGGGTGATGGCTGCTCATCACATGATGGCTGCTGCAAGAAGGAAACTCATGGGCATCGTTCCACCCACACATCAGCCTGCCAATCTTGGTTTCGCCCATTTCCCTTGTGCCCAATGTCCTTTCTCTAATCCCCTTCTCCACATCCCCTTTCCCCGTTCCCTTCCCCGGATTCCCTTTTCCCAAATCTTAATCCCCTACTTTTATTCCCTCTTTCTAACTGAAAGTGGATGGAAGGGCTGATCCAGTAGTACCACTTTCATTCCTTCCAACCACCACACACAGGCTTTCCAGTAGATGAAATTTGACCACCACAGCCTTTCCTCCCTCGGCCATCTCTCTCTCCCCCCTTCCCCTACCTACCACATCTATTTAAAACGCCTCAAATAAAGCAGCACAGAACACCCACACCAACTATGCTTTGATTTCTATTCCCCGTATCACACTACTCTTCAACGTTTACTCTTTTTCTCCTACAATCCTCCTGTTCCCCGAGCCAGTGATTTGGATTCAAACGGCATTACGGGCCCCATCCCATCCACCATTGGCCAGCTCACTGCCCTCACCTGGTTGTGAGTGCTGATGCCGAGGGTTCTGAGCCCTAGTACCGTGTTGTGCATCCATCCATCCATCCATCTATCCATCCATCCATCCATCCATCTATCCATCCATCCATCCATCCATCCATCCATCCATCCATCCATCCATCCATCCATCCATCCATCCATCCATCCATCCATCCATCCATCCATCCATCCATCCATCCATCCATCCATCCATCCATCCATCCATCCATCCATCCATCCATCCATCCATCCATCCACCATTGGCCAGCTCACTGCCCTCACCTGGTTGTGAGTGCTGATGCCGAGGGTTCTGAGCCCTAGTACCGTGTTGTGCATCCATCCATCCATCCATCTATCCATCCATCCATCCATCCATCCATCTATCCATCCATCCATCCATCCATCCATCCATCCATCCATCCATCCATCCATCCATCCATCCATCCATCCATCCATCCATCCATCCCATCCTCCATTGGCCAGCTCACTGCTCTCACCTGGTTGTGAGTGCTGAGAATGAAATCTGAGTTCTAATGCTGCGTTGTGGGAGTACGGTTATTGAGCTGTGACGGTTAACTACAAGCTTTGGGGAAAGCATCGAGGTTTGGTTGGTACCAACAAACGAATTGCGTGCATCCTTCTTCCCACTGTTTAGCCCTTCTCTCCGCTTTCCCCACCCCTCCTCGTGCTGTATACATCATCTTCCCCCTATCCCCACTCCACCCACCAGCTCCATGTGCTGCAACAGCCTCACTGCCCACTCTTCCTCGCTTCCCTCTTCTTCCCCCTCCACTCCTTGTCCCCCTTATCCCTCGCCCCCTTATCCTCCAATCAGCTCCATGTGTTGCAACAGCCTCATGGGCAGCTTACCAGCGACCATGAGCGATATGGTTGCCTTGAGAGACGTGTGAGTCAATCCAGTCAAACGAATGCAACAGCCTCACCAGCGGCTTACCCCCTACCTTGAGCGACATGGTTGCCTTGAGAGACGTGTGAGTCAAACCAGTCAAATAGGTGAAACAGGTCAAACCAGTCAAACCAGTCAAACAAGACAAGCCAGTCAAACCAGTATGTGTCAGACGGCCATGTGATTTTGCCTAGAAAAATAATCTGAACTTATAGGAAATTGCCTATCACCGCTTGTATTATTGTTTCAATGCCAGAATTCAGCTCACCATGTTGAGTTCAGCTCACCATGTTGAGTTCAGCTCACCATGTTGAATTCAGCTCACCATGTTGAATTCAGCTCACCATGTTGAGTTCAGCTCACCATGTTGAATTCAGCTCACCATGTTGAATTCAGCTCACCATGTTGAGTTCAGCTCACCATGTTGAATTCAGCTCACCATGTTGAATTCAGCTCACCCTGTTGAATTCAGCTCACCATGTTGAGTTCAGCTCACCCTGTTGAGTTCAGCTCACCCTGTTGAGTTTAGCTCACCCTGTTGAGTTCAGCTGACCCTGTTGAGTTCAGCTCACCATGTTGAATTCAGCTCACCATGTTGAATTCAGCTCACCATGTTGAATTCAGCTCACCATGTTGAGTTCAGCTCACCATGTTGAATTCAGCTCACCATGTTGAATTCAGCTCACCATGTTGAATTCAGCTCACCATGTTGAGTTCAGCTCAACATGTTGAGTTCAGCTCACCATGTTGAATTCAGCTCACCATGTTGAGTTCAGCTCACCATGTTGAGTTCAGCTCACCATGTTGAATTCAGCTCACCATGTTGAATTCAGCTCACCATGTTGAGTTCAGCTCACCATGTTGAGTTCAGCTCACCATGTTGAATTCAGCTCACCATGTTGAATTCAGCTCACCCTGTTGAGTTCAGCTCACCATGTTGAATTCAGCTCACCATGTTGAATTCAGCTCACCATGTTGAGTTCAGCTCACCATGTTGAATTCAGCTCACCATGTTGAATTCAGCTCACCATGTTGAGTTCAGCTCACCATGTTGAGTTCAGCTCACCATGTTGAGTTCAGCTCACCCTATTGCCCCCGCTCTTTCTCTCCGACTCTCTTTCCCACCCACTGTGTCTCTCACAATTCTCGCTTTGCCAACCAACTCACAGGGGCGATATTTGAGGCGACTGGTTTTGAGGCGCCTAGCTTTGGGGCGCCTCGAAACTGGACTTCTCGCTTTGCCCACAACAAGGGCCTCAAAGCCTACAGGGGAGCTTCCGGTGGTCCTTGTTGCTGGAGGCGGCTTTTGAGAATTCTCAAAAGCATCCGTAGCCTCATGCGAAGGAAAATGTGGATCATGTGTGTGTCGTGCTGTGTCTCGTGTGTCTCTTTGTTTCTCCCGCAGCTCTCTCTTTGCCAACCAGCTCACAGGGGAGCTTCCAGCGATCAGCGTCCTTCCAAACCTAGAAATATGGTGCGCACCAGAATCCTTTTGAGTCGACACCAGAATCCTTTTGAGTCGACTCAAAATATCTTGAGGCGCCTCAAAACAAACCTAGAAATATGGTGCGCACCAGAATCCTTTTGAGTCGACTCAAAATATCTTGAGGCGCCTCAAAACAAACCTAGAAATATGGTGCGCACCAGAATCCTTTTGAGTCGACTCAAAATATCGCTACGAACTACAATCCTTCCAAGAACTAGGTGCTTGCGCATTCCACACGGATTTTTTGGCAAGCTAGCAATTTCTGAGGCGACTCCAAGCATTTGTTGTAGCACTTATACACCAACTGTAACCACTGACTCCCACCACTTCCCATCACTTCTTGCCACTTCCCATCACTTCTCACCACTTCTCACCACTTAGGGTTGTCAAGGCTGTTGAGTGAGTAGTACTGCAGATGACAGATGTCACGTGCTGTGCTGGGTTGAACCAGCACCAATTAGGCTCCTCACCTTTGCTTTTGAGTCGACTCTGAAGACTGAAGATAGCTGCTGCCATGTTCTGTGCTGGGTTGTCTTCTCAGCAGATCGCTTATCCCCACTGCTGCTGCTGCCCCTTAAAAATCGTCTTCTGAGTCGACTCAGAAGACTGAAGAAAGCTGCTGCCATGTGCTGCGCTGGGCTGAACCAGCTCCAAGGGTTTTGAGACGTCTCAAAACTCTGTCCTGTGCTGTTCTGTTCTCCAGCTGCCATGTTCTGTGCTGGGATGAACCAGCTTCAAGGGGCCCCTCACCTGTTTCCTTGATGAGATGTGTTGCAAGAGATGTTCTGCTTCGCTCTGGTGTGGTGTGGTGTGGTGTGGTGTGGTGTGGTGTGGTGTGGTGTGGTGTGGTGTGGTGTG